AAGCTCGTTTTGTTATTTATTAGAACATTGTTATCCATTCGCATCTGTGTACACATGTTAGCTTATCTATTTTTCTTTACGCTAATTCTGATTTTTATCTTGTAATGAATAACTGACAAATAAAACGCGTCATCATTATTATTAATCACACTAATATTAATGTTACCTCCGCTAAATGAATAATATTAGCAGTTTGAAAGCTATAAGCAGCATAAATAGATAAGAGTCCCAACATGTAAAATGAAAAATAATACACGTCATACAGATTTTTAGCTCTTCATAATAGAAATGATTAGTAATGTAAACTCCAAATTAATTACATTAAACTTCTATTTTCTCCTTGTATTTAAAACAACTCAAAATATATTATTATCAGTTAGTTGTTACATTCGTAACCTCTTCAATCCATTGACGACGCTTCTGAATAATTAGTTATTACAAAAAGTTTTCATAAAAAATACTTTAGAGAAGACACTATTCTTTCCTTGCTATATCACTTACTAGAGGTACGCAGTCTTAATCATAATTGGAACACACGTATGCAAATTTAATGGAAATATTTCATAATATTAGGTCGTTGACAAATTATTTGAAGAAAGGGTTAACAAATGGTTCTAAAACCTAAGAGTAGTAATAATGTATGGCGTAACTTAGGCTAAGAAAGTCGTAAAGAATCCATTGGAATTAAAATTTCCTACGCATGAAACACGTTTAATTTACCTTGCCGCCAGATAGGTATCAGTTAGACGAACGAATAGCAAAATAGAATAAAAAACATGTTTCAGATAAGGTTCAAATCATGGTATAATAGGAAATTATTTATGGATTTTTGGATTGATAAAAAGCGAAAACCACTCTGCTGTAAAATTCTCGAATACATCGCCTACTTTTAGGTCACTAATTGACCATAAACATAATTTCAAAATTATGATGAAGTCCAGTGTAGCGAGTCGCAAGAAACAAACTCACTTGTTTACATTACCCCGTTGATAGTTTAACAAAGTATTTCATCAGACTGATGCATGAAATATTTCTGACATTTTTAAACGGAAGCACTACCATCTAATAATCCGAGAAAATCCTGTTGTATCTAAAAACCCAACAATCAATAAACCTACCCACGTAATAATGCGGTTAACCTATGCACATAGTACGAAGAAACCATTTTCTACAAATTTCGGAATGTTTTCTGTCACTTTTTGAGACACATTGGAATTCCGAGAATAACTATCATCAAAGTCACCCGATGATTTAAATGTCTTATTTGATGTGTGTGGAATCAGTTTGTACGACTAAATTCTATTTCAAAAACAAAGAAATATTATTAAAATTAAAGCTACTTAAATATTCAATTACAACTACATGTTTTAAACAATTAATATCAACAGAACATCGATTCCCGACAAAAGTATAGTAATGATTGTTAACTCTGTTATGCTAAACAAAACACAATGTATACATACTAACAGAACCAGGTTCATATGTGAAATATTTCATGCCACTTGAATAGAGTGTTAAAACTGTAAGTTCGTAGTGATCAACGAGGTCATTGTAAACAGAAGAACAATGTAGATGTTTAATCGCATTATTGTGGTTTGTAAAATTAGAAACCCGTAACTGCACAGTTCATCCTGTCCGTTACACTGCAGTCGAAACGGCATGGATTATTACTTCTACTCATATATTTGATGAGCCTTTGGTAATAATCGAGGAATTAGTGTATCTGAGGAACTACAGGTGGTGATACTTTGATAAATCAAATCAACTTATCTACGGCAAAAACATAGTACAAATCCACAAAATCACTGACAAGTCATGTTGGCTAAACGACATGGCTCAAACTCGTTTGCAATGGCGCAGGTGCATTCACTCTTTATGTTATCTCAAATTCTAACCTTCTGAATTCCTCATCATCTCTATCTTATACTCTAATCTTCTCCATTACTGCTAATATTTCTACTATCGCTACCACTATGTGATTTGAACTGACAGTTGCATCTCTGTGCTAATGCGGTGTGAAAACCTGAACTGATGTACTTACGTACGAAGTTCTGTGTTGCATCTGTCTGTCTATACAACTCTGCTGTGGTTATTTTAAATTCAGACATAACAAGTTGGCGTTCAAGTTTAGAATACTAACTCACGGCGATTTTTACTTTAGTTTTCCACCCAATTCTTCAAATACCAATAAAATTCTTGTTCCTACATCGTTTACTTACTCAAACTGTGTTTAATTCTTGCATAATTATTTTCTTTTACTATTTATTCACAAAACGGTCACTTCGATCTGTATTTTATATTTCTTTTAGCCCTTTCCGATGCCACTTATTTGGACGAATAAAAAAATGCATGTATATAATCAAACAATTATTCGATTATAACACTGGACCTTGCTAACAATTTAGTGCAACTTTGTAACTCAAATCACAATTAACCACGACTTATCTATCAGCAAATGAGTGTAGTCAGATAAAAAGAACAAACTATTGCATTGACAAGATATTTGCTTACAGACATTATGATTTAATATGCCTCCATCGAGATGACGATCATAACAAATCTCCGCAATCTGGGTCACCTGTTTTCCTAACATTAAAATATTTCAAAAGGTTACCTCTTTTTATTTGTTTTTACACGTTAATTATTTCTGTTCAGGAGAGCGTAAAAAACGTTTACGACATATTGCGACATAGTGCAAAAACGTAATCTGAGACACCGCGGCGTCTGGTAATATGCATCGGAAATGAAACTTGTTGAAATGTTCCGCGCTGATAATCTCATACTGTACTAAACATATAATATTTAATAGGGCCATTATTACGATTATAAAAAAGTTCATTAATTAACAATTTTAGATTTGCTTTAAGCGGTAAGAACTGTAAACATACTCCACCTGTCGCGCTTTAAAGAGTGCATCAATTGAATTATCTTTACCAGACAACTAAATACCGCTAGACACTATCTTAAATAGTGATATGACTTGGCTTAATCAAATGCCTATACAAGACTGACATTGCACCTTGTTCATGTGAGAGAATGCTTTGCTGAGTTCTGACTGTGAACAAAAAATATAGTATAGCGAAACACGACAAACTTTACTCATAATCTCCCAGTGAAGTACATTTTTAGTTCGGACGCTTGTGTTCATTTCCAGCTTTCTCCTTAAAATCTGTGCCAAGAGAATGGTCGAGGCGAATCCAAAGAAAAATGTTTGTGACAATTATATTTATCTTATTTATGCCTTACGTCCACATATCATATTTTTCCAAATAAAATAGTCACGGTACCCACTCCGGACAATGAGGAACTTTTTATGCATACGTTTAATGTACTACCAGACGAGATGTTGGGATGGTCATACTTCCTAATCAACCGAGTTTGACAGGATACATATTTTGTATGATTAGCCGCCCCCTTTGATTCTAACTCAGATACGAGTATGTTGCAGGAAACCCGTCGGTAGAAGCCAAATGAGTGTAGTTGGTGTGAAAACCGCAATTAATTGTTGGGTACAGTGGAAAGGCATGGCCCATAACTAGTCGAAATTATGGAGATGAATCCGACTTTTATCCCTCCAACTAAATCATGAATTCTGACATTCATACACACATTCCTCCCTTCGAATTATATTTCTTATATCAGGTCGTTCTTACTATTGTTCTCACTACTACCGTCTCCACGGGTTTGCTACTTAACTTGATAATTTCATCTCACTGTATTGATATAAGAAAGTTGATGAGTTTGAGATGGTGGAGAAAATTTGTAGCTCAGGTGAATGATTGTGGTGGTGTTTCGTTCTCTGAGCTGGATGTTTTGGTTGTGGAGCTTTCATTGTTTTTCTGAACAACATCATCAGCACGAACTTGAAAGCTCCACAACCAAAACAACCAGCTCAGAGAACGAAACACCATCACAAAGTTGATGAGTACTTACGGCACGTGCTCTACATTGACAATATATCCCTGATTAGACATGTGTTTTATCAAGTCATAGATTGTCAATATTTTGCGAAATAACAATGTGTATTTCTCTATTAATGGTTCTAATTCTCAAGACGTACAATCAGTAGACTTTGTTCCAACTTTCAAATTAAATAAAAGTAATCATTTCATAAGTCTTATCATAATATGATAATCTTGGACATTTCCATGTTGCAAAGAATAAAACATTTCAAGTCCTTAACAATAGCAAAACACTAGCGGATATATAGTTGTTTTGATTTTGATGTTGTAAAATGCCGTTATTAAGGCAGTTCTAAAGACTTTAAAAATATTGACATACTATTCCTGATAATTCTTGCTCAAGTAAAAATTGTAGGCTCACAATAATTGACAGAGTAAAATCATTATGGCAATAAATGCTTATTCTGTTCCACTTTGTATGAAATGTATCACCAGAAACTCTTAGGAATCAGAAACTACGATAAATCGAACTTGCATTTAATTACTCAAAATTGCTCCGAAACTCTCGATTTCAGTCAGTCAGTTACAACGTAGAACTTTGTACGTACGTACATCAGTCTAGGTTGCCATACCACGTTAGCACAGAGACGCAACTGTCAGTTCAAATCCCATAGTGGTAGAGATAGTAGAAGTATTAGCGGTAATGAAGAAGATTACGGTTCGAAAGTACCATTCCGGAACTGTTCTTGATCACTTAATTTTTGCATACGCGGAAGTGTAAATGTCCAAGATAGTCACAATTATGTGCCTCAGTTGCGAACGTTCGAACAAACACTAAGCCAATATAATGAGGTATTCAAAGACTAGCTGCTTACATAATGAAATTAAGACTGCAAATCTTTAGTGATTTATGACATTCAGCAACTGATGTTGATATCTAGAATGAAGATTCTGATTTAATAATACCGATTTTATTTCTGGACTCAATAGGTAACAAAAAAATATTTCTGGATCACCTTTACCCACTCAGCAATCCAATCAGTTTAGCTCGTTATTTGACGACCAAAAAAACTATACCAAAAAAAAATCTGCACAAAATTAATTATTTTTGATTGTCAACTATAGTTGTTAAGATGGTAATGCAATGAGAAGAAAATATCTTTTACCACACAAGACCAAGATTTACTAACTGAAAGTGATTCTGGACAACCGTCATTAGTGCCGTTGATATTGAGCATAAAATTATACTGATCGCCAGGCATATCATTGCGAAATTGGTAATTAACCTTGCTCTGCTTGTTCATGTGTGATTCGAACAAACTTGAAACCAGACAGTCGGACATTTTAGGTGCCACTTCCTTCGGTGTGCACAGTTTGCCGCAAGCTTCACTCAAACACGTAACATCTCGATCAACTAAACCACAAGGAACAATTTGCCTTAGCCACGAAAGTGGTTCAGTGGTGCAGTTTAGTGCTATGCCATGATATGTTATTGAACTGCTCTGGCGGATACCTAACTAAAATGAAATTAATGAGTGATAAACTAACAAATAACTTATCACATTTGAATAATGCAAAAATATCTACACACATAACATGTATACTAATTGGTTTGACTAAAGAAAACTTCAGGTGCGACCATTTGCAAACATAAACGCATCAAATGAAGCACGAAAAACGGGTATATTGTAACTACAAACTGAAGTACCTTTATTAAAGTCTGAGACGAGCAACTGGATTAAGATTTATACAGCTAATTCACCCTTTTGGGATCGACTTTTTTCAGAAGCTTGACAGGCAAAAACAAATCATTTAAAAAAGCAATATATGCGTAACAAAAAATTAGCTAGAAATGTTCGAAGTGATTGATTAGTTTGTAACGTTTAAGTGCACCTGAAATCAAACAAGCGTGTAATTTTGTTGCAAAGAAAAGATGTACTTGACTATATCTTAATGACGATTGTTATGCTTTTTCTGAAAAAAATCGTTTGAATGAGAAAATTAAAAGATTGAGCTGCAGAATATCATCAAAATTTTGCTACATTTTCTAACAAATCAGAAAAACTATACTACAAGTATACGGGTGTGAAACATGGCTAGTAGGAATGGATTATATTCGTAGGATTCTAGTATTCTATCATAGGTGTCTTAGAAGCATTGCTCGTATATTATGGGACTACTGAGTAAACAATACTGAGGTTGTGAATCGCGTACTAGGTAAAGATGGCAGATCAATAGATGGAGTAGTGAATCTTCATCAGTCGATGTGGTTGAAACATGTGTTACGAATGTCCAACCACCGACTGTCTCGAAGAGCTATATTATGTGGTACAGGGGTAGGCTGGAAGAAAGCTATAGGCGACCACACCAAAATAAGTTACAAATCCATGAAGTCGCTGACAAGTGGACTGAGTCATGTTGGTAGGTGTAGATTACCTGGATGAGGTCTGTGATGCAAAATTAACCGATGGTTAGAGACTTTGAATGTCATGGCTAAAAATCGTTTACGATGGCACAAGTGCAGTCAGTCAGTTGCAACGTAAGAACTTCGTACGTATGTACATAAAATCATGTTGCAATACCACATGAGCACAGAGACGCAAATGTCAAATCAAATCCCATTATGATCGAGATAGTAGAGGAATTAATGGTTATGAAGAAGACTAGGGTTTGAAGATATTATTCAAGAAGTATAATTCAGTGAGATAAGGTTAGAAAGACAACGGTAGAGGTGCTGACGAATCAAGAAGATTAGGATTTGAGAGAGCTCAAAGAATGGATGCACTTGCGCCATCGCAAACGATTTTGAGCCATGTCGTTCAAGGTCTCTAACCATTGGTGACTTTCGTCTCGCGGACCCCAATCAGATAGTCGACAAATACCAACATGACTCAGTCCAATTGTCAGTGACTTCATGGATTTCTGCCATATTTCGGTCTGGCCGCCCCTAGCTTTCTTCCAATCTACTCCTACACCACAAAACATAGTTCGTCAAAGCAGTCGGTGGTTAGGCATTCGTAACACATGTCTCAACCACCTCAACTGATGAAGTCTCATTACTTCATCTATTGATCTGCCATTCTTACCTAGTACTCGTTTCCTAACGACAGCACTGCTTCCGAGACATCTATGATCGCATACTAGCAACCTACGAACATCTTCTACTCTCACTGACCATTTTCACAGCCATAAAGTAAGATGGAGCGAACTACTGTACAGTACACTCGTCCTTTGGTTAGCGGACAGATATCGCGCCTACGCCATAAGTGACGCAGGTTGGCCAAAGTCAATCGAGCTTTCTGTATCCGAGCTGAGATTTCGTCAGTCACCAGGCTATCAGCGCTAATGAGACTCCCTACATAAGTGAAGTGATCAACACGTTCGACTACTTCACTCCTTATCACTAGTTTAGGTGCCGATGCAACCCAGTCTTGAAGCAACACTGCAATTCGTGAAGGAAAGCCGCATCCCGAACATGCTCGCATGGTTGCGTACAGTAGTCAGAGGACTCTGCGCTCTGTCAGCGTCTTCAGCGAATAGAACTATGTCATCGGCATATTCTAGATCAGTAAGCGAATTTCCTGATAAAAGGTCAACCCCTAAAAAATCAGACGATCTTAATACTAAGTCTGAAAGCATATCACCGAGAAAGATAAAAAGAATCGAGAGCGTAGACATCCCTCACGGACACCACCTGATGTAGAGAATCCCGATAACAGTTCGCCATAAGCCCTCGCTCGATCAGTAGTGTTCGAGTAGAGCTTGTATAAGGTTAGTGTACTTCTTTGGTACACCTTTCAATGACAGACACTGCCACAGAACCTCACGATCCACTGAGTCGAATGCCGCCTTAAGGTCCAGGAAGACAACTATTGTAGGACGCCTAAATGTGCGACTGTGTTCCAGGATCTGTCGTATGGTGAAAATGTGGTCTATACAACCACGTCCAGGTCGAAAACCAGCCTGGTTTTCTCTAGTCTGCTCTTCACGAGATATAGTTAGGCGTCTAAGTATAATCGAGGCTAACAATTTGGAAACTATATTAGTTAAACTGATTCCCCTGTGATTGTCACAAGAAGACTTGTGTCCTTTCTTGTAAACTGGGACAATTAGCGACTGAGACCAGTCGGATGGGATTACGTCCAGTTCCCAGATTCTACCTAAGATCTCAGTCAACCTAGCTGCTAAAACTGGACCAACATCCTTTAATATCTCAGGGGTAAGCATATCAGGACCTGCAGCTCGCCCTCGCTTCAGATTTCCTAACGCTTTCTCAACTTCATGTAGACTGGGAGGACTTAAATCGATTGGCCATTCAGGATGACTGGGGATCGTGGGCAACCGAAGAGTTGCTCGAGGCCAGTTGAACTGATCCCTAAAATGTTCTGCCCATCGATCCAATCTCCTGGATTGAGAAAGCATGATCCAACCATCCTTCCCTGAGATAGTTTCGCTAACAGATGGATTTCTAACACTGTTTTCCTTGATCAGTCTAAATAGTTGCCTACTCTTGCCTATTGCCACTGCCTTTTCCATCGCCTTTGCTTTCGCCACCCACCACTGTTCGCGGTCGTTACGTAGGCTTTTTATCAGCCTGCGCCTAAGCTGATTCCTCTCCTCATCGTACTCAGAGCCAGGCGCGATGAACTTTCGAGCACCCATCAGTTCGGTGGATGCGACTGAAATCCACGGCTGCATCCTAGTCCCATGGTTTACCTTACTAGCAGATATCACTGCTGTTTCCACAGCCTTTCTCGATATCATTACAACCTACCTCCTGATACAGATCACTTACATGGTCGCCTGTCTTCCTAGTGTGGAGCGCGCTACTTACAAGGAGTATATGACGCAAGTAAAAACGTAATGTCTGGCAGCAGAAGATGGGGGAAGATCAAGAAAGGAAGAGAGGGTACACAATGGGGTTTGTATGAAACGCATGAGCAGTGAAATGTCAGACAATGGATTGATGTTTTGCAACAGGAACTGTCCAGTTCGATATGATGGATTGATATTTTGCAAATTAACGATTTACGATATGGTTTTCCAATTAACTCTGTAATTTGCGATAAATAAAATTCGGTTGCACTCACCTGTGTTCTCCTTCAATGATTTACCTTACTAGCAGATATCACTGCTGTTTCCACAGCCTTTTTGATATCAATACAACCAGACTCCGGATGGGAATCGCTTAAATGGTCGCCTTTCTTTCTAGTTTTTCCTGAAATATATTCTTCACTCTATTATCATTAAGTAAAACCTTAAGAGGCTTTCTTACGGTGTCTTTCCTACGCCCAGTACGCCTCAAACAAATACGCGTTTGCACAAGGGCATGATCTGAATCTAGGCATGTGCTCCAGAACGAGCGACAGTCCTCTATCGAACCCCTCCATCGGTGGTTGATGGCAATGTGATCTAGTTGGGTTCAACGTTGAGACGACTTCGGCGGTCGCCATGTCAAGAGATGCTTTTCCTTATGCCTAAAGTTAGTGTTTGCTAGAAATAGGCGGCTACCTGAGCATACTTGCAACAGACGGTCACCATTGTCTGTTCTCTGAGCCGCGACACCATAACATCCACCTGGGTGTTTCTCCTGCTCACTTAGTCTACCTACTTGAGCATTAAAGTCACCAGCCATTATTACTATATCAGAGCGCTTAACTTTCTGGAGGAGGTCCGAAAGCTTTCTGTAAAACTCATCTTTAACCTCGTCTGAACTGCAGTCAGTGCGACTTTGACAAGATGAAATCAGATTAGTGATTTTACTAGGATCCTGTATGCGCGTTTCCGAGACGCAACTTACATCGATCACCCGAGATTCCAAAGTCCTAGTTAATGAAGCCTGTTTCCCTATTTGACAGAGGCTCCGAACATTAAAAGCTCCTATATGTAATTTGGAACGGGGTTTAAGGCGATCAGTATTAATGTTCCGTGGGCCCAAACCGTTAGCTTAAGCGGCTCAAGGTGACAAACGATCGAAAGAAGAGTTGGTCGAGAAGATAAGAGAGTTATTAAGAGGTGCAGGAATGATTTGATTGTGATCAATTCGGTCTCTCAAGCTGTTACGGGTATAAGGGCGGTTGTCACTTCCCACCCACCGTCACCGTGGAAGGTTGCTTCTTGAGGGACCTGAAAAGGAAGATAGATTAGTGTTGGTCTTAGAGACCTGGGAGTGTGACCGTGGAGTCCGAAGAAAACTGCTTGAGGTCGGTCACGCACGGCCTTTTTATGAAAGGTTTTTTGAATATTAGCTCCGCTCTTGAAAGCCATTAGTGGGCACCCTTACCGACGGAGACGGAAATCCATGAGGCAGGGTGAGGTGTGACATTTTTAGGGTCGACCTTTTTTAACCTTTGCTTCCTCGTTAGAAGGCAGCATCGCTGCAGATGCTAGTTGTCCGAGGGAAACATCTTAGTGCTGTCACACCCCTCTGCAGTCAGCAGACCTTGAGTAGCTGTTTTTAGTCTCATCGTTCTCCAATCGACCTGCCTGGCATTGTAGGACCTTCAGGAACATAAGTTCCAGCCAGTATAGCTCGGTTGGGTCATCACGATAGGCAAGCCCGATCACCACGTCAAGGTAGCAGCTACGGTCGAAGATGGTTAGACTTTGAATGTCATGGCTAAAAATCGTTTACGATGGCTCAGGTGCATACATTCTTTGTCCTCTCTCAAATTATAATCTTTTCCTCATCACCTCTATTGTTCTCTTTCTAAATTTATCCCACTGAATTTTAATCTGTGAACAACATCTTCAAACCCTAATCTTTGCGATTACTGTTCATACTTCTACTACCTCTACCACTATGGGATGTGGATTGACAACAGCCTCTTTATGTTAATGTGGTATGGCAACTTGAACTGATGTATGTACGTTCGAAGTTCTACGTCGTTGCTGACTGATCTTCGTCTGCAGCTTGGTTCATTCTATACAAACAAATATAGTGGGATTTTTTACCGAAACGCAATCAAAAACGTTTTAAAGAATTGAACATTTTCGGATGAAAGCGTTTGATAAAATATTAGTGAAGTTACATTATTACTGTATTAAAACCAAAACGGTTACCAATAGCCATGACTTTGTGCCTAGAATTAATCCATACACCAGTTTCAGAATCTCCACCAGCAAATGCAGTCACACCAAATTGTGAACATAGTTTAATTCCAGCTTCCTCTAAAGCACCAACATACCACCTTAAACCACGACCTTGTAAGGATTTACATCGAAGATTTATTATCGGATAGACTACGAGCTGTCCGGGACCATGATACGTAATTAAACCTCCACGATCGGTGCTGAAAAATAAATTAGATTTAGGATTTGCGACATAAGAAATTAGTATCAAAGCAATAAAACATTAACGATCCGGAAAATTCGGTAGATATTTTAAGATAAAACCTGAGTATTAAGTGAGTTTATTGAACTGCGTGCCTTAATCCTACGACTTCTTTCAAATATGTTTTCTTCTGAAGTATACATAATCCGAGGGGAAATTGATTCCTTGACTGGATGATAGTTGAGTAAACCCACTAAATACTCATTTTATTCACTGTTTTTAGGAAACAGTTATAGTACAGAAATCTTATAACACTGAAATGAATTATCACAATAACTTGATTAATTATCCTAACAGCCTGTCATTTTGAAATGTGTCAGTCAGTCAACATCAACATAGAGCTTGGCACAATTGTGTGTTGGGGCAACTAGCCATACCACCATGACATGAATAGCAAAAAGGATCGATTTAAATTAGGAGCAGTGGTAATCAGAAAGGACCAAATATTGAAAATAAGGTTAGAAAAAATAGTTAGTCCGTTGAATTGTAGAGCTTGGTAAGTAAACACATCAGTTGAAGTTTCTATACCACATTAGCACAAAGAAATTTTAAATCAATATCCTAGAGTAGTTGAGGTAGCAGCAGTATTAGCGGCAATCGAACAGATTATGGATCGAAGAGATGTATCGATAAGTTACAGATCAGTGAAATAACCGTTTAAAAGAACAAAAGTCATGAAGAATTCAGATTCTTAGTATCTGGGAGGGAGACGAAGAATGGATTCATTCACCTAGGCCATTGTAAACAGTTTTACGCCATATCACTCAAAGTCACTAACCACTCGTTATGATTGTCACGCGGAACCCGACCACATACTCTACACCTACCAACATGACTCAGTCCACTTGTCAGCGACTTCATGGATTTGTGACTTATTTTGGTGTGGTCGCCTATAGCTTTCTTCCAGCCTACCCCTGTACCACATAATATAGCTCTTCGAGACAGTCGGTGGTTGGACATTCGTAACACATGTTTCAACCACATCGACTGATGAAGATTCACTACTCCATCTATTGATCTGCCATCTTTACCTAGTACGCGATTCACAACCTCAGTATTGTTTACTCAGTAGTCCCATAATATACGAGCAATGCTTCTAAGACACCTATGATAGAATACTAGAATCCTACGAACATCCTCCATTCCTAGTAGCTATGTATCACACTCACAAAGTAGAATGAAGCGAACTACTGAGCAGTAAACTCGTCTTTCGGTTAGCAGATAGATATCTCACCTCAGCCGACCGTAGCTGCTACCTTGACGTGGTGGTCGGGCTTGCCTATCGTGATGACCCAACCGAGCTATACTGGCTGGAACATATGTTCCTCAAGGTTCTACCATGCCAGACAGGTCGATTGGAGAACGATGAGACTAAAAGCAGCTACCCAAGGTCTGAGGGCGAAGTCGTACTGCTGACTGCAGAGGGGTGTGACAGCAGTAAGGTGTTTCCCTCGGACAACCAGCATCTGCAGCGATGCTGCCTTCTCACAAGGAAGGAAGGGTTAGAAAAGGTCGGCCCTAAAAATGTCACACCTCCCCTAACTCACGGATTTCCGTCTCCGGCCGTAAGGGTGTGCCCACTAAGGGCCTTTAAGAACGGAGCTAATCCTCTAAATACCTCTCATAAAAAGGCCGTGCGTGACCGGCCTCAAGCAGTTGTCCCTTGGGCTCTGCGGTCACGCACCAACACCATCCATCTTCCTTTTCAGGTCCCTCAAGAAACAACCTTCCACGGTGTGGGCAGCCGGGAAGTGACAACCGCCCTCATACCCGTAACAGCACACGAGACAAAATTGGTCAAAATCAAATCCTTCCTACACCCCCTAATGTCTCTCTTATCTCTACGACTAACTCTATTCATACTCCCTTTCCTCACTGCACCGCTAATGCAGACGAAGCGAGATCGCGAAACGTCGTTCCTGGTCTCCTTAAACCCCGTTCCAAACTACATGTTGGAGCATTCAATGTACGGACATTGTGTCAAATAGGGCAACAAGCTTCCTTAGCTCGGACTTTAGAATCTCGCGCCATCGATGTATGCTGCGTCTCGGAAACGAGCATACAGGATCCGAGTCGCGTCATACACTTGGCCACACCATGTCAAAATAAAGAAGCAGCTCGATTTACTCTTTGTGTATCCGGTAGCCCTGATGCTGCTTCCCGGGGTCTTGCTGGCGTAGGCATAGCATTGAGTCGTAGGGCAGAACAATCTCTCCTTGACTGGATCCCAATAGATAGTCGATTGTGCGCTGTCCGACTAAACGGGACAGTAAGGACTCGGAAAGACAGGGACGATCGCCATTGCGTCTTCATCGTATCTGCCTATGCCCCCACTGAATGCAGTTCAGACGAGGTTAAGGATGAGTTTTACAGAAAGCTCTCGGACCTCCTCCACCTACAGTGTAAAGGATTTTATGCTTAAAACTTGGTAGTTTTCTCAGCATGCTTAAAACGCGAGATGCTACACCCGGTCTGCATATGGTGATCCATGTCATTAAGTAATTAATCAAGCGGAGAAAAGGATTTGCTAACAATCTGTTTGGTTGGAACACATTATAAACTTATTCTATATGAATAATAAGCATATTGGTGTTTCATAAAAGTAATCACGTATAAGCCGTTCATGACAATGAAATACACTTCAGTGGTTGCTTATTTTAATGACTTTACTCAGTCAAATTTCCATTTAGAATCAGATCTTTGAACGATATGATACGGCACTTTTTCAAGAATCAATCTAGGTAAAGGTTTATGCACAAAACGCATATTTGCATTGATGAGAGTGATTATTATTATTCGTGACATGATTAACTATAATAATTCACTATGAAAAGAAATTTTATTGGAATTATTTCTTGTTACTAGCAAGTTTAAATATTTGTGAATACTTTATGACAATTTTACGCATAATGATTGCATAATTTCAAATGAACTCCGTCGATTACCGTAAGCTTATCAGATTAAAAATGGTACGTTTACTATCAACCTAATTTAAAATCGCTCCAAAATCCGAGAATTAGAAAGACAGACTGCGACAATCTTCTGCTACACAAGACTTAGTTAGTGTATTATTTTGATAACTAAAATTAAATGCAAACTTGTTGTATTTCGTATGCATTTTGCGTACAATGAAAATTATCCTTGATCACGATATGAATTTTACTAATTTGATTAATTACGTTCACCAATCCACTTTCATTTCGACAATTGTTTGAAATAAATCCTCCAATTTTTTAAAATCATTATTTAAACAGGTACACTTGGTGAAAGAGAACTAGCTACCCAGACGATTCTCTTCAACATTGAATCGATGTGTTTTACGCTGGTAGGCTTAAATCATAGTTTGTCAATATATTATGATAATCTTCACTCATTTTATATAAATCGATAATTTATGTGTAATAAAGTTATGTGTTGTAGATAAGTGTTCTCTTCTATTCAGTATACAATCTCATAAAGATAGAATTGATAAAAGTCTTTCCGTGTAACTAATATCCATACTTTTCTATCCAATTCAAATAATAAGTTGTCGTTAAATGGTCATTCCTTTTTAGAATATGCTCCTGTACTTTTTCTACATTAAACACAGACATACAATTATTAGTATAACAATGTGCCTACCTATTACTATGTGCCGTCCGTTCATAAGTTTAACCTATTGGGCCAAAAATGAAACGCAACAATAAGCAAAGATTAAAATAATTAATACTCATGAAAATTTAGAAACATAACCTTCTAGTAATCATGGAAGAAAATATGTTTTTAGTTTGACTTTGGATAAATTGATTTACATAATATTCACAGTTACAGATTATCATTTTAGTTTATTCAGCTCCAATGTTAGGTGTTCTAAATAATACATATAATCCATTTCTGTGTCAGCAAAATATCATTTGCACAAAGGTATAAAATATAGTTTAATAATTTTGTACTAATCTTCAAAGACACTAAAGTACAACAGAAATGTATCATTAACTAAAATAATGTCACGTGCTGGAATGGAAAATGTTATTTAAATCATTTGATATTTCTGTACTGAAAATCATCAGCAGTAACATTAATTTTTGCTGTAGTAATTTTTGTTATGGATTACTTTTCATTTATCGAAAAAATCCAGACACATTTTTCAGCATGTATCTATCTCTCAAGGCATCCTTCTAACAGTTAAAACATTTATGAAGAGATTTTAGTGATGTGTCATTCTGTCACTATACAGGCATTAAAATTCATTGTTCAACACTTTCTGGATTGAAAAGATTTAGATTATTTGGAATGTAAACAGTTTCATTTAGAAGAAGCCAATAAGTTTAGGTATAGAGTTTTTAAAAGGTTTTTCAAGAGAAGAACCATCTGCAATTAAAATTTTCCTCATTTTACACATAAATTTATTGTATTTGTAGACAAAAACACGATTTATGGAATGAAATTTCTAAATTTCATTTCATCTCAGAAGTTATAAAAACCATGTTTTAAAAAATAAGGACCATACCGAACAATCTATTTTGCATCATTCGAGTGAAGTGAAATAGTATTATATTACTTTTAAAAAAATTTGGTTGCTTAACTTTCAATATTTTAACATAGATGAACATAACTCTTTTATGATGGGATATCTATTACAACTGCTCGATTTGATGAAATTTTAAATCGCAAACTGACTGTAGAAAGGTAACCTTTGAAAACTATTCAGTACTTCATGAGTATTTCGTTCATTTATGGGAGTGAATTAATGAGAAGTTTCATATTAGGACGAAACATTCGCCTGAAATTTTCTGGTCTCTGGGTATCTCTCCACTTCGTCATTTAATAAATCTTGATTTGCATGTTGATATGCCTTTGTTACTTGATAACCAATAAACGTACTGTTTCTACAAAGTAATGATATGTATTTCCTATACTTCCTTTTCATTTAGTTACCACTTGGATTTGGTATAGCAGCAAGCATACGTGTTGGTCAATTTCTTGGTGCCCGCTCCTCATTAGGACCACGGTCAGTTGTTTCTACAGCTCTTGTAACATTGTGTAAGTAATAAAAATAGATAAAATCTGTAAATAACAGTGTTTCATTAATGACATACTTTACTATGCTTTAGAGACTACTTTTTTTCAAAATACTATATTGTTGTTACTGTCATTTTGAAAATTTAAATGAGACTTTAAAAAGCAGTCGGTGATGTTGGAAACCGGAACCAAGCGAAATGATAGAAGAGATAATTAGTTACTTGAGTGCAGAGTAACTAAAGTCCTAGATGCTTGAGTGAATGATGCTCATAGATGAAAAGTATTCAGTTTTGGAAAAAGTCAAGACAGATTTTGTTATTCCCCAGTAGGAAACATGAAGGAAGGTATCGATCTGCTATGATATTCGCTTTTTTTCGGTCTGCTAAAGATTAAATGACTCAAGATAGCGATGCAATGAAGAAACATCTTATTGGGGATCAACTCTTATAAATTATAACTACGATGTTTATTTATATCACTTACAACTTATCACAGCTAGTGCTGAGAAATCAAAGCACTAAACTTTCATTTGTACTAAGAAACTGCAAATATGATTCTTAAAACCTTGATAATCTGTCAAGAATGCCATAGAAACTAGAGCAAAATCGATAGTTGTAAAAATGTGTCCCGTAACATAATTAAGAGAATTTTGAAAATGAAATGTAACCAAGACGAACAAGAAAAAGTGACTGCTTAATTTTTCCACATACATTCTTCTGGTTTCTCCACGTGTATAGTAAACGTTTCAGTTATACAAGGAAGACGAGAGTTCACTAATTTCGATAGGTTCAAATAATTATATTGGTAACTCTGGATGGTAGGTTTGTTTTATTCGGAATAACAAGCTTTTTTCCATTTCGCCAGTTACCACAGCTTCACAATAATTTTCAAGGCTAATTTTACATAAAGTAGCGAAGAATAAAATGGAAAGGTGTTGCAACGCTTAACAAAGTTCTCAAAGATTGTGTAATAGTCTTTTGGTTAAAAGAAAAAGTAATTTTTAGAAGTAATGTAGGGGATAACTGTTAACTTATTAAGTATAAAAGAGTTAAAAGAACGAATGAATAATATTAACCACCTGTACATTCAGGACGACAGTTAAATACATTGAAAATGAGGGACTCGTTATATGTAATTGGGTGTGAATTATTATGGTTTCAGCTGTGAACAAAATACTAATCCAAACCTTCTTTAGGTTAGTTTTTTGAATCTTAAAATAATCTCGAATTATGATTCCTATTACGGTACATGACTAGAGTTGACCACTTGTTTGAGGACTGAATTCTCAATGGACCTGCATTTCCAGTTAAACAGCCATGAAGGGAAGTGCTCAGATATTTGTTGAAAAAGTGCCAGCCAAATGTGATCAGTGTACTTTGTTTCAAAAGAGTAAGTAGATTCATAAATCCAGAATGAGATGCCTCTAAACTGCACATTATTCTCGAAGCTTTCTTGAATAAGCCGCCTACTAGAGAAAGCATTCCGTAGCTCTTTTGATTAAAGGCGTTTCTGAAATATTTTTACATGATCAGCAATTAAATTCTCCATGTCTGCTAGCTCAGTTTCCAGAAGCAGAGAATGGATTAGGTGAACTTAACTAAACTGTTTGTTTCTTCATTTTGAAATTAATAAATTAACTTCTTTCGTACATCTTTAAAGACATTCTGTAGTTCAAAAGTTAATGAAAGTAGATTGAAATGAATTTTATCAGTCGGATCACGTTGCTTGACTATGCTTGTTGAAATATTTCATAAGATGACTATTTCGAATTAAAATTGAGTTAAACAAAAATAAAATAGTTTGATTGAATTTTAATTTTCCTAAGCTAAATTCCATTGATATTAACAGCAATTTATAGAAGCAAAAAATTAATTTGGAAGTATTCATCTTGAGAAGTTAAGTTGCAGCGAGACTCATCAAAACTAATTCATCATGTATAAATTATTCATTAAACTTTCAACAATAAGTGTAAAGCCATGAAATGTTGATGGTAATAGAGAAGAAGAAGAAGATTAAAGCTGCAATCACAACAACAATAAAATAAAAATATTTTCCAACACATGTTATAAATGTACAATTTTAAAAATATTTAATGTTGAAAGCAAACTGGTTAAATATGTAACCCAGTGAGATTGTTCAAGCTTTCGTCACCACTTGAGCAAGCGTAAATTATTAACCGATAATACTTTAAATATACTCTTACAAAATCAAGATTAATTTACAAATATGCTCTGTATATTGAAAGATCTATTGTGAAATAAATTTTTTGTAATTGTTTGGTTCGTCACTAGGTATGCTTGATCTGTTACGAGTTCACCTTAGTCGATAAACGCGAACGAGACAATGAACCAGAGTCCAGGTAGGCTACCTTGATCCGAAACAGCCAAAGAGAAGTTTTGGCATAGCGTAGAAAGTATATTCTACAAACACCCAGCAGGCACAATGCAATCAAGCACACAAAATCTCGTTTATTTATACATCATAGAAACGTCCTTGGGACAGTCACAAAAATAGCACACTAAAATAAGCAGCAGCCAATCGCAGCCAAGGATTTCCCTGGTGGGAAATGAAATCTCAAGGTCAACGGATCAGCCAATGCTCGCAAACGTGGAATCCAAAATAAGGCATTTATCAAGCGAGTTATTGGGATCTAACATCCCCAAAAGTAATTAGTTTTGTTCAGATATTATCTACGCTGTGACCGAGTTAACACTTGTAAACATTTTTAGTTTCCTTTAATTACTAATTTATTGACTAAATATACCTACATGAATGGTAAACATTTTCTTCTATTATTTGTACAGGGATGTCTTCGATTGCCTTCATTCTAACTTTATGCTTATTGAGATGGAAGATTCCAATGATTTTCACTTCTGAAAAGTAAGTTGATTTTTTACTAAAGACTGAAGTAGGCAGTGATATAGTAGAACTTAAAACTATGCTTTTAGTTGAGATATCGTTCAAAATAGTCATAACAACAATTGAAAAAGAAAGATAATTCATTCCTAGCCTATCAGAAAATTTAATTGAAAATCTTTTTTTTCCGAAAAGAATATTAATTTGAAACAAGTAAACACAATTTCAAGAAATAATTGATTTTAAAAAACGACTGACAGATTAAATCAAAAGAGGGATTAATGATTTGCGATTAGGTTATAACTGACGCAATAGAAGGCTGAATTATTGTTTTCACAATCACTCGGATCCAACGACTAAATATTTATTTGTTAGACTTACCTACACCTTTCGCATAACCATTCTCTTACTTGCTACTACTAATAGATTTATAATTTTCTACAAACATTTGCACCGTGGAACTTATCATTCGAGAGGAATGGTACTGAAGCAATTTCCCCATTCGTTTATTCAGAAAAAAGTCATCGAACTCAAGTTGTGTGGGCGATTAAATAGTTTCTAGCAGTATGTGAATATAACCATACTGAAATTTTACAACTTCGGAAAAATATTTGAGATGGAATAATATGAATTCATTGTATTTCGAGGTTTCTCATTAGCTGCTTATAAACACATATGTAATAAAGTTTAACAATGATATATGATATAATGCAAAGTGATTGACATTGATTACAGAAGGGATTAAATTAACGAAGACCAATTATATATATATATATATATATATATATATATATATATATATATATATACCACAACTTAAAATCACCGAGGAATAACCAATAGACCTCAACCTTCCACATAAAGATATTATAACATAATTAGTTATTTTAACTGAAATCACCAAATGTAAAATGTTTCTCTGCATCTAATTAACAAAAACTTCATTTTATGTAATTTCTAAATTTGTTTGCACATTTCTATCTATATGTTCAGTTATCTTTTAAATATTGGACTTCAAATACAACCTTTATTCTAACATTGTGATCGTGTGCTAAGTTAAAAAAAACTCAAATGATAGCTTCATAATACCTAAATCTTCTACATTTCTTTAATGGATATTAAATAATTCGAATAGTATTCTAGATTTGACTGAAATAGAATGTAAATACTGGGATGTAATAATTTAAAAATAAAAATGCAACAATCTTATTGTTTGGTCTTGTGGTAGCCAATTTCGACGTGTTCTTCATCTTCGTAATTAGCTCGTCCAGACAATCGTTACTAAATAGCGTCTGACGGTTTATAAATCAGAAGGTGAACTCGAAGTGTTGAATACGTTTATTTTGGCACACCACAAATATGGGATAGCAGACCACAAGCAGACCGGACAAACACACTAGCGAGCGAATGGGCAAATGTGCGAATGTACGAATGAATTAATAAGAATAAAATGTTCGTATATATACATGGGAAGATATCTGAGTCATCGAGGTATTTAAGAAATTAATATTAAAGCGAATCGGATGAATTTGCACGTAAGCAGTGCCCAGTCGTACAAGCTCATACAAACTAGACAATAATAGCCCACGGTACATATAAGTTACTGTTGTACAAATGGCTTGGTTAAATAAATTAATCGAAAGGCTTGACAAAATTTAATGTAAGTGAATTCAAATATATGTGGAGGCACTACAGTGTCTCCCCATTATATAGTATTTATTATGTAGACAACAAATAAAGCAATTCAAATGAAAACATAAAACACCGTAATAATCTACGGTATTTGATCTTAACAGAATTGGCACTTTCATGATGAAATATTGATTTATAGCTTCATGTCCATTCTTTAAAAAAAAATCCAATTGTAATTATTTGATCTTTAATTTTCTTCATTTTTTCTCAAGAGATGTCATTGAATTATCTGCTAAACTATTGCCATTAATTGCTACATTTCAAATATTTGATGGAACTGTGGTAAGATTTTAAATAATTAAATTTTCTTTCTAATGTGATTCACATAAAATATAGAAAGTTATCTTTGCTATTCTATTGTTCATTGCAAACTATTTTCAAATAACTGAATATTCATATTCATATTGATTGAATGATAGTCTCTGTGATTCATTAGCTTATAGTTCTGAAACTCCAGCGACTTATTTTACTGGCAAGTTACAATGCTCTTGGAAGCCCATTTCGCTATTAGTTAGTTAGAATCTGTACTGTGGAAGAAAATGAAGCATGTCGGTGAAGTTTTATTCTGTTCATAGTCAACTTTACCGAGATAAATATTGACTGATTTCACTAATAACCTATGTCACTGAAAAAATCTAAACAGCAATATCTTGGAAAGTGCTCTTGAAAAACATTTAATGCATAGAACAAGATTATTAAGAACTAATCATTGGATAGGGGTTAAGATTTAACAAATCAAGCCCAGAAGAATTCGATTTGAAAACTATCAGACTAGTTTTCTATCAGCTAAGAAAAGTAACATAACCTATTACTAGATTCGCTATTTACTTTAGCTCCTCGCTATCCTTACACTAACAATAAAGTTCTATTTCCATTTCACATCACCACATTTCATGAGACACAAGAGACGAATTGTACTCAATAATCACCTGATATTTATTGACAAACAGGTGTCGTACTGTCTCGTGAGGATGTTACTATCTTGCATCATGCATAAATCAGAACAATACCAAGGTCTTAACTGGTCTAATAATTTCATATATGCATACCAAATAATATTGAATATCAGAGTAAAGGCTGGTAATTATCTAATTATTTGTTTATATGTTTTGTTCGACTATACAATATGGGAATTTTCGATGTCATGCATAAAGGTCGTTTTCATTGTTTACTGACATTCAGCTAGACTGAATCACCTTGTGATTCCCAGGCTAATAATTAACATTATAAACATTGGTTATCATTGTTTCTGAAACGTGAATATGTACTGTTTACTGTCAGGCATTGTCTGAAAAATATCAACATAGGCCTTTGTCTCAACAATCTAACCACAGATAATTTTAAACAAGGATCATATGATCCCTACCTGTGGATAAAGTCAAGTATGATTACGATTCATTTTGAATCGATCCATTCAACATAAGTTACCTAAATTTTGTAGCTGATCTGAAATACATATTAATGTGTGAATTACGTCATCACTCTATGGGCTAGAATTTACACAGATAATTGTCTAAGTTAGTTCATATCAGTTTACAGGATTATAAAGTAAAGAGATTATCGATTCAAATGTATCGATTGAATGTAATGCTGGCACTAAATTAGGGGCAATTCATGTAGTGTCATCAAGGCCATTAAATATAAAATATTTAAAGAAAATGAATTTTACAGATTTTTATCATAGAAAACCAGTTCTGTGTTTAGTTTTTAAGGTTTTTTGAATATTAATCAAATACGATGTAAATATATGGTGTGATCGGTTTATCGCACATTGTATTAATTAAAGAACTGTCAAAAGTCATATGTATGAACTAATAGGTCGTGATTTGTATCTATTGATCAATTTCAACTAATTAAGAGTGAAGTTGTGTCTGTCAAGTCAAACAACGTAGCAGTGGGCTATTGACGTCAAATAAATCCAGTCAGTCAATGAAATTAAAGTTCACGCATAACCATTAGATAAAAATTCCTTTGTTCATTTACTTCCATAGGGTGTTTGTGGAGGTGCCATTCGTGGAGCTGGACTGCAACTATTCGGTGCAATTGTTTGTTTTGTTAGCTTGTATTTAATAAGTTCTCCTATCAGTTTAGGCCTTGTTTATGGTGGTGGCTACGGTTTGGAAGGTAATTTGATGCAATTTTCGATTTTTAATTTAGAAATTTAGTTTACGAGTAATTTCACAAGAACTATTATTATTATTACTGATATTATTTTACTAAAATTATGTCTTTACGTTTATAAGATAATAGACTACTTAGTCAGTATAGTAACTTCAACCAATCTAAGTGATTCTTAATTCGACAGAAGATAAGCAAAAGACAAACCAGCAGTTGTAGTCTGTCGGAAAATCCTCTAGAGAACAGTACTAAAATCTCTTCATTGTCATCAAAAGTGAACACAGAAAGAGTAAACCATTCGTGGATATTTAATTTCTGGAACTACCACTATGTAAGTCATAGATAGCTAATTATTTCACTGAGTTAATGTGTTCGGTTAGTGAGCAAACTTAAATGAATTATACTTATTTTCAATATATTAGTCAGTGGATACATCATTGTATAAAATAAAATAAGTTTTGATTAAAACAAGTGATATCTTCTAAGCTAAGATTTATTTGTCTGTAAATTAATTGCACCACTTATAGGCGATGTTTGAACAAACTCTTTAGATGGTTTAACAATTCATTTCAACGAACTCTAAAAAACTATTTATTAACTAGTGGCCCGTGTTATGTAATAGTACAGAAATACGACAACAGATCAAATGACGTATGATATTATTACAAAGACCAACTAACTGTGAACGTTACCTATAAGAGCATTTATTTTCTTAGTGTGAAGACTATTCCTTATGTGGATTTACTTTTTATCAATAGGATTATGGGCAGGTATGACAGTTGGAACTATTTTCGAAGGTGTTATTTATCTTATAACTTGTCAGCGCATTAATTGGGAGAAACAAGTTCAGCTAGTAAGTAAATCTATGATCAAATCATTCTATTATTAAACGTTTATCAACAACACCAAATAGTCTTTTTAGAGGATTTGCGGGAATCAACTGCATTGAAAACATCCTTATATGATAGGCAAGCGTCAGAAAGGTGATTCCGAAACTTAATCGCACTCTATTTCACACCCAAAATTCAAGAGCTGTACAATGAGGTCTCAATAACAACTAATCTGCAGGAGCAATAAGGCGAAGAGATTGAGTAAATATGTCTTATCACAAAAAGCAATGCTTGACAAATGGAAGTCGATTACCGTATTTTGAAAACATTTATAGATAGGCAAGTTTTAAAAAGTTTTGTTACGAAATAGAATAAGTCCAGCTTATTTGTTTATTCGTCATGTGATAATGAGTTGTTATGTCATTCATCTTCAGATATGACATTTTTGTCAAGTTCATAGCTGATGAAAAGCCTATTTGTTTAGTAAGTTAACAGTTCTCTTTTTTTACAGCATGTACACACTTTTCTTCGTTTGCTGTCAAGAAATAGTTGAAAATCACGAACCTACCTTAGCTGAACTCTTAGTATACGACTTCTCAGTTATGAGCTTCCATGACCCCACCACAGGGAATCGAATCAAGAACCTTCGGTCTCGAGTGAACATTTAATATCGCGTTATATGGTACAATTTAGTTTATTAATAAGATATATCTTTATATTTCACAACCTTTGTTCAAAATCCAGGCAATTGAAAGAACAGAACAATTATTAATAAACGATGATCAGCTGCAAGAAAGAAGTACAAACCAAACAACTGAAGAAGTTCAACAGTCAACGGATACTAAACCCTCATCAATCAAAGGTGAATGCTTAGATGAAACGGAACAAACAAACATCCGAAATACCATTTCATTTCATGAAAGTAGGTTTCCTGATTTGTTTAAAATTTCGACTCTGCTATTAAGTAGCATATTCCATTTCACGACAGTATAAACAGGATTTTATCACGAAATTTTTTAAATGTGATGTAGACCGGTCAGTTTCTATTAACTGTTTTACCTAACTGTTTTTAAAACATCATCATGTAGAGACTCTGTTTTTGTGTTGAAATTAATAGCAATTCGTAATCTATTATATCCCAAAAATTGTAAATGAACCTATCACTAACCTTTAGATAACATTATGACGATCCATATAATAGTGTATATTTACAGATGCTATATTTGTCCGAAAATAAACAAGATTCACACTAACAGAGATTAAAAACTCCATCCAGTTGTTCATATATGACGTAAACATGTATTTGAGTTATTTGTTAGATTCACTTTTCATCAACGTAAAAAATTAATTGATTAAAGCTTTATTGTTCAGCATATACTGAAGTTAATATGAGTATTTTGTCATTATTAATAATCGTTGTTTGGTGTCTGTCGCTTACTGTAATTGATAAGACTCTTATTATTTGTAATGAAAAGAAGCCTGTAGATCTTCCAATAAATCAAGCGGTAATATGAAACGATACTATGTGGTATCGTAATTTTTCATTGACTTTGTTGTACCACTGTTCGTTGCCACAGTACTATTACATGGATAAAATTTTTAATCATAAACGAATCATATGAATATACTCTGGTACTTAAATATCATTAAGAAAAGTGGTCGAAATTTATCACTGAAGTTAAAATATGTAGATTCAATAATTAAATTTAATTTACATCTGTGACGAAAAATCATACACATGTTACGATATTCATATTCTGTTAATGATTTTCCAATAACTGAAAGCTTATCTCCGTAAATTCCTAAATAGTTTTAATAAGATTATGTACAATTCTGATGATTATTTTATTAAGATTTGTAATGCATATCAACCAAATAAGAAATAATCATGACAATAAAAACATTGTTGATCAAAATTCTTCACAAGTTATATTAAAAGCGACAATTCACAGTTGATTGTGAATCTTTACAGCCACAATTTCGACAAGAATAATCCGAAAGATAAATTTAATTGGCATCCAAGTAACAAGTTTAAGATTTTTTACTTTAAAGTTTGTTATTTTACGAATAGTAGGATTGAACAGTTATTCTGTTGTAATTAAAAATTACTTACCCCATTCTGTATCGCAAGAATTGTATAGACTAGTTTGCTTTAGTGACTAATTATTTATCCTAAAAAGATACATTTCTAAGAGCATTATATTCCAAAGTTGTTTGTATCACACAGATGTTATAATGAGTTTTAGTGACATTCAGTTATTAATTATACGATAACTTATTATTAATGGTGACTTCTATTCCGGAGGTTTAAAGGTGTTCTAACATTGATCGATTCATGATTTCAAAATGTTTAAAGGTTTGTTAAACATGAAATTTAGGATAGTGAACAGAAATCATGATTAGATCCCTAAAAGTTACTGTTCACTGCAAGAAAATATCATATATCTAATGATATCAATGAAGGAGTATTTAATGACATTGTCAAATTTATTAGCATAACTTAAAATGTGTAAGTTATTAGGTAAATCACTTAATAGTAAATCCTTTTACTTGAATTATAATATCCGAATTATATTAAAGCATGTTATTTTATTAGTGTAGAGTCCATTATTTAAGTCCTATTTAAGTCCTATTTTACATATCAAAAAGACAATATAATATAATAATTCTCTTCCAGGTGTGACAGAAGCAGGAACAAGCTTGGCAGATGGTTTTAACCTCCAAAACAATGATTTGAGTCCAAATACAAAAAAAATGCTTTCTACTCAGTTAAGAAAAGTCGTCTTGTCACGTATTATATTCATTTTATTTATGCTTTGTATACTAATTTTAGGCATAATTATTCGAGTACTTAAACCATGGTCAGGTAAATTTGGTGTATACTGTACATTTTTGAATGGGACATTCATCTCTTTAAAAGATAGTAATGATATTTTTCTTAGAAATTCAACAGAAACAATTCTAGATGCCGAAAATATTTTATTAAAATATGATGATCAAAACTGTACAATATCTATCCCGTAAATATATTATTCATTGTTTTTGAAGATGCATATATAGGTCGTAACGCGTATTTACCATAAAAATCCCTCATTTTATTATTATGTCAATCATATTATTGAATTCAGAACACAAGAAATAATAATATCATTCTACATGAAGAAGTCTTGATCTTTATTGAATTTTGAAAATGGGGTTCGAATTAGATAAAATGAGTACTGTTAAATTCTCCGGAATAGCGGTTGAATTCGTCGGAATAATGTACCCGAAGTCTTTTTAAGTCAGAAGACCATCTTGGTTACTCGGAAATATATATATATATATATATATATATATATATATATATATATATATATATATATATATATATTTAGTATACATATTACACAAATGTGGTTCTCCAATAAATAGTAATTAATTACGTTTAAGTTTACATTCAAGATGATAAGACAACAGCAACAGTCAACTAAAAAACAACTCAATGTAGAAATAACGGGTTCAAAATGGCTGCTTATGCAAAACATGCTCAAACCAATGGGGACATAATCATTTTGTTGATAATTAACTCAACTAATAAGAAAAAAGAGAAAGGAGTAGACCCTGTCTACTATTGAGTAGTATAGTCATAAATGAGTAATTCTAAAGTACTTTGAAGTGAATAGTAATGAGGGTTAGATTTTGGCATTCCACTAATTTACAGTAACTAATTTGGTTCATCTAATACTACTAGAGAACCAAATTTACTATTATTGATGTCAGTAACATCGACAGTCGCAGGAATCAATTTAAGCTTACGATGAAATATTTGTTCTCTTCATCATTCTGATGAGCCTCTGGTGTGAGAAATATCCTCGTGCTGTCACTTAACATGGAACATTTGTATTTGTTTGACTCAGGTCAGTAGCAATTATTTGAGCTAAATCAAATGAATTTGTCGATCGAATACACTGACCTAAAAATGCAAAAGTAGCAAAGCTAGCCAAAATGGAAGGTAGAAGTTAGTAGCCATTATGTTGTACAGCGGTGAGTTTCAAAAGTCCTTTTACCAACCAGCACGAGTTTCTGTATCTTTGATTAGTTTTGAAAGAAACTTGTAAGTATGTAACTGAAACGTTAATCGTTTACTTACATACTTATACCTAATACCGCTAAAGGAGCATAGGCCAGGGACCAGCATTCTCTGACCAACTCTGTCTTGGGACTTCCCCTCCAGTTCCACTCAAACGGTGTTCATTCTTTCCATATCTGCCTCCAGTTCTCGGAGCAGTGTGTTCCTATTTTCCTCTATCCCTTTTAGTTTCGGTTTGTCTTGTAATGAAGTTGGATGACTTCAGCAATGTATATCCTATCCACCCCCGACGCTTTATGCTTATTTCTGTCTCTGATGGAATCTGGTTTGCTGTTTAAAACAGAAAGTTGTTACCCATGTTGTCTGGGTAACTGATCTTCAGTATCTTGCGTAGACAAAAGTACATGAATATCTGTATCTTGTGGATGTTAGTTTTCGTAGTTCTTTAAATACTCTGAGACCTACTTCAGGAAAGGCTGCTGCCACATTGGCCGTTTTCTGTTGCATATATTGTGCTGTGAGGTAGAAAAGTTAGATCATCTGTGATGTCCAGATCATTCACCTGCATCTCAGCTTTTGACTGTATTCCGGGATTCCCCTCAAATTTTGGCGTCTTTATAATCCAGTTGGCTACCAAGAGATGAGATTGAGCAACATTGTCTGTCGTCGGTTTTCTAGTGGAACGAGTCTGTGATTGGTCCTACATGTAAGATCTTGCAGTGTAGTCCATCATTAGAATACCGTAAGATGTTGACTATTGTAGAGCCGTGAAGTTTACACGCCCACACTTATTCCAGAACAGAAGATTGTATATAGTATATCGATTTTTATTGATAGAAAGTCGAGTGATATTAGAATAATATCACGTGTTCAGCTTGTACAATCGATGATTACACGAAGCGATCGATAGATCCGCAGGGATGGCGTGGGTGGCGCTCGAAAAGTGACTTTCAGTACAAATAAACAAATGATGTACAATAAAACAGTTATTGTTACATATGTTCAATAATAAGTATTTGTACGTCAGTAATCGTGCTTTCTCGACAAAATAGTTCCACTACACTATCTTCTCAGGTACACCATAGTGTCAAAGAATACTCCATTAAGTCATCCTGTCCACGCTATCAAATGCTTTTTTGTAGTAAAATAGGTTGATGTGCAGTAGTGACTTCCATTCAATGTATTGTTCTACACTGATCCGTATAGTCAATATTTAATCAGTACTCAATCTACGGAATCGTTCATTCTGCTGAGCTATGTTCATTCGAAGACTTTTCCTGTTATTCACAATAGAGTGAAGGCTCTGTAGTCCTCAAACTTGCTGTGATATGCCTTCTTTGTTATCTTCATGAGATGTCTTTCCTTCCAGACTGTTGTTGCTCGTTCCTCCTCACAAATCTCGCTCAACAGAGTGTACAACATCTTTGGGGTTACTGTGATATCTACTTTTCGTGCTCCATTAGGTACGTTGCCTGGTCCTTCGGCTTTGCCATTCTTGATTTGCTTGATACCAACACTCATCTCCAACTGTCAGTGGATTAATCTCAATTAGCAGGTCCATAGGCACTGCTTCGATGATGCATGAGACTGGCCTACTAAAGATTTCTTCAGAGTGCTCTACCCATCTCTCTTGTTGTTCTACAATGTCAGTGATGGCTCTGACTTCTTTTTTCTTCAATAGTCATTCTGGTTTGCCGTATTTTCCATCAGGCTTCTTTGTTATGTTCTATAACTGTCTCATGTTTCTTTCTCTTGCAGCGTTTTCTTTTATCATTACTAGATCTTCCATATGTTCTCGCTTATCAGTTCTTATGCTCCTCTGCACTTCTTTGTTTAGTTCTGTGTAAGTGATGATCTGAAGCTATATCAACTCCCCCTTTGTTCCCAAGTTCTCTATAGTGCTTCTGAACTTTCTATTGTTTCAGTGTGATCAATTTGGTTCTGTTCAGTGTGATCCTGCGAAACCTATCAAACCTTATTGATGAGTTTGTGTGGGAATCTGGTGCCTACTATGACTGCTTGTGCGTGTAAGGCATAAGTCTTTCGATCGATTGTACTCACAAAATGACAAATAATTAGTATAAAGCGTAGTGTGGCTTGGAAGTCGCACTCGGGGAGAAGAAAGGAAGGAGACCAAAATGCATAACCTGATCGTTGTGGTATAGAGACCAGAAGATGTGAAGTAGAGGACATTCAACAATCTGACTGTTTTTCAAACGGGTGTTTGAAGATAAGATGTACATATTTTGTTCCCAAACCACGCCTTCTCTAAATACACTTTATCTCATTTAATATTAACTTCCTCATTCTTCACAACCTTACTTCTGACTCATATCCTTTTATTTCAAATTTCTCTTAATAAAAATGTAGTGTTTTAGGTAAGGTTGCTCGAAATGATTTTAATTTTGAATTGCTATAAGCTGAGGAAACCAAGTCCACCAAACATTTACCACTTTAATGTCCCTGAGCGCCCCAGGAGGCATTTAATGCTACTATGTACCTAGTTCACTTTAGTTAAGTCGAATTAGCGAAAAGTCACGGACAAAGAATCAAATTGTCTCAAGTTATCAGAAGGCATAATTTGTGCAGTTGATAAATAATCTAGTGATCCTGCTTCCTAATCATACCATCTAAAGTAACAAATGACCCATAGAGTGGTCATAATGTAGTGAACGAGAACACAGGTGGGGCAGCCGGATTGTATTTAGCGAAAATTACAGAGTTACTCAGTAAAATTGGAAAACCATATCGTAAGTCGTTAATTTGCAAAATATCAGTTCATCATATCGAACTGGACTGTTCCTGTTGCCAAACATCAATCCATTGTCACTATTCATGCGTTTCATACAAATTCCATTGTTTTCTAACTCTTCCTTTCTTGATCTTCCCCCATCTTCTGCTGCCAGACATTACGTTGGCACTCGCGTCATTTACTACTGATAAGTAGCTCACACCACAATAAGACACAAGAACGCTTTATAGCAGCTCTCTCAGTATTTTCTATAGGTCGTTAACAAACCTTCATAATCAGTAACCTTGGGTTATATCATCCTGTTATTTGTGTCGCTTTATAAGTTGTTGAGGTGATCATTTCATATTGTTACATATCCAAAAAACTTACATCCACCTGGAAGATATATATTTACCTCTATAGTTCATCCTTTCGCTGGTTGGACGTATCGAACCATTGCAAAACCATTTCTTGAAAGATCACTTCATTACATCTTTCTGTCAACTGTCTCAGCCATTAACAGTAACAATGCAATCAAATATCAGTGAATTAAGAGCTATAATCCGAAAGATCAACTCTCATATGCTCAGCTGATTTGTAGTGTAAGGGAAAAGCTAAGTTGACGCATTAAAAGTCAAGCTAGCGTTTCTCATCACCAACTGAGACCAGCTATGACGCTAAAATATTAGGGTTTTGTTAGGAGCAAATCTGAAGTTCTGAGTTTGGTTTCCTGCATTAGGGTTAAGGCTTTATCACGATTTAACATCAATCATGATTACATTTTTTGTTATTCTACTGTTCATGGACTTGAGAGACTTGTAGTTGTGATTCGGAGTAAGGGTTGAGAAAAATACAATCTAGTTTCAATAAAAACTACTGATAGTACATTGAAACATGACAAATACTTCTTCGTACGATTTGCCTAGAGAGTATTTTTGTTCTGTAATTCAACAAAATTACCATTATAAATTCTTCCATCGGTTTCACTACAGAAATTTCTATAGGTTTAGGTCTTTTAAGGACTACATATTGCTTATCTCTACTTCGTTAATAATAATATTCAAGTTTTGCATAGCTGCGCTGTTAACCTTGAGCGAAATAGATGAGATGTTATCCTATTTTTGATTGGTTTACTCAGGGCCATTAGTATATCTAACGTTTACCCACATTTTCAGCAGATCTTCACTAGAAACGCAAAGTTACGCATCTTTTCGCAACATCTAC